AATTTTTATGTTATCTATTTATTTTGTCTTGTTCTTTTTGTCACATATTAGATAATTTATTGCTCAAAGCCAGGGCTGACAGCATTGCCCCTGCTTGTTCTTCTGAGAATTTTATGGTTTTAATTTGTACACTTAGGTCCTTATTCCATTTTTTATTTGTTTTCATGTATGATATGAGGCATGGATCCTGTTTAATTTTTATGCATGTGGAAATCCAATTTTCTTAGCATCATTTATTAAAGAGACTCTCCTTCTCCCATCAAATGGATTTTGCACCCTTGCCAAAAATCAGTTGACCATCGATGTTTAGGTTTCTGGGCTCTCAATTATATTTCATTGGTCTACCTGTCTATTGCTCTTTCAGTATGAGGCAATTTTGATTACCACAGCTGTATGTTGTTGTTCTTAAGTGCTCTGACTCCTAGCGACCCCGTAGGGTTTCAAGGAGTGGGTAGTGGGTCTGAACTGCAGATCCTATGATTAACATTCCAGTGCTTATCCTATAGCACCAGACCAACACTTCATAGTTATATAGTATATTTTAAAATCCCAAAGTGTGCTTCCTTCTACTTTGTTCTTCCCTTTCAACATAGTTTCAGCTATTTGGAGCCTCTTATCTTTCCATATGAAATTGAGGATTGGCTTTTCTATCTTTTAAAAATGGCAGCTGGAATTTTGGTTAGGATGGTACTGAATCTATAGATTGCTTTGGGTATTGTCATGGTTTGAATTGTGTTTCCCCAAAATATTTTTTCCAGTTGGCTGGACCATGATTCACTGTGGTCTTGCAGTGATGTGATAATCCCATCATGATGTGATTTGATGTGATAAGCCAATAAGAAGATCAGAGGTGAGCAATACTACCTTTAATCTCACCATGACCCTGCTCTAATGTGCTGATAGATTCGTAAGGGCATGGCATGCAACACCTTTTATATTACAAGAGATAAAAGGAGAGACATGAGTGAGCAGAGAGAGGGGGCCTACTACTACCAAGAAAAAAGAGCTGTGAGTAGAGTGTGTCTTTCAGACCTGGCATCCCTGCACTGTGAAGGTTCTAGCTCTGGAGAAAGACTGATGCTAAGACGCTCGGAGCTCTTTAAGGAATGCTAGGCCTATAGATGCTACAAAGGAAACAAGGGCCTTTCTTCAGAGCCTATACTCTGGATTTGGACTTGCAGCCTCCTAAACTGTGAGAAAAAATTTCTGTTGGCTAAAATTATCCATTTGTAGCATTTCTGTTACTGCAGTACTATATGACTAAAGGCACGTAGTACTGATACTTTCCTTTTTTATCTTTTAAAATATGACTTATATCTAAAAATATTAACTAGGGGTTGAAGTAGCAGAAAAGAGCGTTTAGGGTCTTTATTAACTTCTTCAAATTTCTCTAACTCACTAATTCACATGATACAAAAAGCAAGTGGAATATTAAGTTAAAAATCTCCTTTTGGTCAGAGTTTAAGTAATATAGCTGGTAAGACAGAAAATCAAAACAGTCTGAATATTCTATATATGGTTTTTAAGGATTACTAAAACAATAAAATTCCAGGTGTTAAGTCATGGTCTTCTGTTCTACACAACCCTTATTAAACTTAAAGCAAACCCTCTTATGGAAAACATCAAACAACATTTTCCCAATATGGAAATCACAACTTACTTCAACTTGAAACAGCTCTCCAGCTCCCTCACAGTCGTTGGATGTTATTATTGGGGTATGAATATGCACAAATCCATTGTCCTGAAAAGAAAAAAACAAAACAAATCTTTTATTTGCCTAAGAAACAATTCTAAAAACATACAACTTACCTTATGGTGCTAATAAAATGTTGTTGTTGTTGTTAGGTGCCATCGAGTCGGGACTGACTCATAACGACCCTGTGCATAACAGAATAAAACACTGCCCGATCCTGGGACAACCTCACAATTGTTGCTGTGCTTGAGCCTATTGATGCTGTCACTTTGCCAAGCCATCTCCCTTGGGGGTCTTCCTCTTTTTCTCTGACCCTCCACCTTACCAAACATGATATCATTCTCCAGTGACTGGTCCCTCCTGACAATATGTCCGAAGTATGAGAGATGAAGTTTGGCCATCCTGGCCTCCAAGGAGCCCTCTGGCTGCACTTCTTCTAACACAGAGCTGTTGGTTCTTTTGGTAGCCCCTGGCACTTTTAATATTCTCATCCAACACATAACTCAAAAGCATCAATTCTTCTACGGTCTTCCTTATGCACTGTCCAGCTTTCACATGCATATGAGGTTACTGAAAATAATGGCTTGGGTCAGGCGCACTAGTCCTCAAGCTGACATCTTTGCTCTTCAACACTTTAAAAAGGTTTTGTGCAGCAGATTTGCCTAATGCAATACGTCATTTGATTTCCTGACTGCTGCTTCCATGAGTGTTGATGGTTGAGCCAAGAAGAATGAAGTCCTTGACAACTTCAATCTTTTCTCTGTTGATAAGAATGTTGTTTATTGGTCCAGTGGTGGGGATTTTTACTTTCTTTACATTGAGATGCAATCCATACCACTAAAGCTAGTGAGGGTGAAATAGAAGAATTCTACCCAACTTCTTCAATCTGAAATTGATCAAGCATACACTCAAGATATATTGATCATTATTGGCGATTGGAATGCAACGGTTGGAAACAAAGAGGAAGGATCAGTAGTTGGAAAACATGGCCATGGTGATAGAAATGATGCTGGAGATTGCAAGGGAGAATTCTGCAAAACCAATGATTTGTTCATTTCAAATACCTTCTTTAGACAGCGTAAGACACAATTATATACATGGACCTCACCAGACAGAATACACAGAAATCAAATTGACTACATTTGTGGAAAGAGACAGTGGAAAAGCTCCATATCATCAGCCAATACAATGCCAAGGGCAGACTATGGAACAGACCATCAATTGCTAATATAACAATACTAAGAAAATGCCATATTAAACCCCTCACTAGCGCTCAAAGCATAAAACTACTGAAATATCAGCTATATGTTTACTGTGCACATCAGTATGCAGGACTTTAAATGAGGAAGACACTCAGAAATTAATTACTGCAACTTCATTTCAAAAACATGGAATTAATGAATTTGAAGTCTAGAGAAATTTAGTGACTTGCTAAAAGTCAAACAGCTAGTCAGTAGCAGAGCCAGGACTGGAACCTAGCTCTCTCTCTGGTCCTATTTTCTCTTCCCACTTCTCTAATACATGTGGGATTCAAAACATGGAATTAAAAATTAATGGAATTTCCTCATAAACATTCTGCAGGCCCCTTATATACTTGTTGTTGTTAAGTGCTGTTGAGTCGATTCTGACCCATAGCGACCCTGTTTAGGGTTTTTGAGGAGCAGCTGGTGAACTTGAACCACTGACCTTTCAGTTCAAATGGCTTTGCAGTCTGGCGCATTCACCCACAGCACCACACCAGGACTCCTTGTATAATAGCAGTGATGAAAAAAAAAAAAAAAAAAAGGCACACACACAGACATGGTTCATGGTCTCTGGCAGCAAGATGTATAGTCAGAAGCACACATGCATCTTCTTAAGGTACAGGGCCTAATGCATAATGACACTGCCCATGTTGGTAAGGAATACAAAGTGATCAATACGAAGTTCTGTTATTTTGGCATGAAACCCTCAGACGTAATGAACCACCAGAAAGGAGAAAAATTAAAGTTGGTAGGTAAGGACTGAAGAAGTAAGCAAAATGTGAAAAAAGGAGAAATAATTTGTGGGAAGTCTCTGTCATTAACTTATGGTGTGGTACACAGCACGTAGACTTCTTCGCCTGAAGAAAGATGATGAGCATCAAATCTATCCATTACTGAGGCGCCCAATAGCAGCCCTTCCGTTCAAAAGTCTGAGACTATTTCCATTAGCAAACCACAAAAGGCTGTCTTTAGTAGGATTGAAATAACCCAGCAACGTCAAGGTTATGCTTTCATTTTGACTTTGGATATAGGCAAAAGGTTACAATCAGTGTCAATGTTGCAGGGTGGATAAAAGTGAATTTACACAGCACAGGCATAATACCAGGTGCTGTGGAGTTGACTCCAACTATACTGCAAAACTTTGGACTTGAAATAAATATAATAAATTTACAGATACATATCTAATGTCTGTCAAGTTCTGCCTATCACTAGTGGAATGTAAAATGTCCTTGTGTATTACCAGGGGTCTCCCAAATTTGGCCCCTCCTTCCTAAAAAAATTGAATTCAAGTATTCTGGCTACAGGACAAAGTGTTAAGAGCCAATGGACTATGTGATACAGATTAAATATTCAAGATACAAATCAGGCATTTTAGATAGTATTCCAATGTGTCTTTAATCTGAGAGGAACCATGCCTAGAGGTGCTGCACAAAGCACGTTATACAGAACCAATGCAATGTAATCAATAACGTTACTGCATAAAATTTTTATCTACCAGAAGCCACGAATTATGGACATGAATCATTTATTCCACATGAAATTCAGGCAAATATGCACATGAGTGCAGTAAACAAAGAAAGGAAGTGAAAAATCCAAAGGAAACGAGGGTGGGGAGGGGGAGGAGGAGAGGGAGGAGAAAATTTAAAGGCTAAATATAATTGCCAAAGTTAAAACTGGTCAAATGCCATAAGAAACAACACAACAAACCTTATGAAAATAACTGTATGGGATTTTTTTTTTAAATCACACAAGTAGAGGGAATTAGTTTTAAAACTCAACTAATGTAAAACCTTTCCAAAGAAGTCACCAACTTTTTAAGCCTAATGCAGCTAGCATTATCACTACTCAGAAATTACAAAAGGTACAAAAAGCAAGATTACAAATGAAGAACAATAAAGCAGTGAGAACAAACTTCAAAAAGGAGATAGTGAGCAGGGAGGTACAAAGATAATAAGAGAAGGGAAATAGCAGGGAGTAGTGGCGTACCCTCAGCAGCTGCCTCAAATAGGTTACCAGAGCCAGGTACTTAGACCATCCCAAAGCAAAGGAGTTCCTAACTGGAGTGATGAAGGCCAAAGAGGGGGCTAAAAATAAAAATAAACTCTTTCACCCAATTTTTCAGATTCCATTCACTACCACCTCTATGGATATAAATATTCTGGTACACATACTTGCTGTTGTTGTTGAGTGCCATTGAGTCAGTTCCAACTCATAGCACCCTATATAGAGTTTCTAAGGAATGGCTGATGAGTCTGAACTGTCAACCTCACAGTTAGCAATCCAGTGCTTCTTCTACAGTATCACATAAAGACTCTAAAAGTATCACGTAATACACATACTTGAACCAGATATTTTATAAATCTTCTGAATATCCCAAAGTTACAAAATTTGTATGCTAAAGCCCACACACATCACTCAGAGGAAATTCACTGAGACTATCATTTTCTTTTACACACAACCCAAACAAGAATCATCACTTGATCAGAAGCAAAAATAAAAAAACATGAAAAGAACTGCTAGCTACAGGCATGCATTGACATGAAGCAACACCAAGAGGGGACTAAACAAATTCATGAAGAACAATTACAGGAATTCCAAAGCACAGTAGTCTGAGGTCACTCAATACAGGGAGCAAAGACTATCTGACACCGTGACAGGCTCTGAAGGCACTAGCATGCAGAAGAGAACAGTGAAGCAAGAATCTCAAGGACCAAGTCACTCTTCTCTTGGCTCAACGCAGGATGATAGGAAGTACAGAATACATTTTAGGAACATGTCAACTAAAATTTAAATGAGTGCCTAATGAAATAAATCCTTACTTATCTGAGAAATTCATTCTTCTAAATGACTCATTCCTTAAGAATTCTACTTACTCAGGCTTTATTTTGTACACAGCAAATGGTACAATTTTATGAACAAACCAAGTTATATACAAACCATTTTTAATAACTCAAACCAAAAAATAACTCTAGATCCATAAAGTGTTATAACTAAACGGTAAAAGCTAAGTTTCTATTTCCCCCTGCATTTCTCTATTTTTATTGATGGACTTGAAATATATGAAAATTTTGCATCTAAAAGTCTTCATATCTTCTGGGGAACCTAAAGCAACAAGTCAGAAGAAGAGTACCAAATGCTTTATTTATTTTGATGACTTCAGGTTTTTTTTTCAATGATTATTTTTAAAAAGTTGTTTACATATTTATAAAAGCATCAAGTAATTCCTATAAAAAAGGCAAAGTCCACTTTTCAATGGATTGCCAATGCCACCATCTAGTGGCTAAGACCATCATTGTCCTATTGTGGTAGTTGCTTGTTGCTGTGAGGCTGGAAGCTATGCTGCTGTTGTTGTAAGTGCTGTAGAGTCAATTCCAACCCATAGTGACCCTGTATAGGGTTTCCAAGGAGCAGCTGGTAAGCTTGTACCGCCAACCTTGCAGTTCAAAGTGCTTTGCAGTCTGGCGCATTTACCCACAGCACCACATTTAAATACCAGCAGGGTCACCTATGGTAGACAGCTTATAGTTGACCTTTCAGACTAACACAGCTTAGGAAGAAGTATCTGGCAATCACTTATTAAAAAAAAAAAAAAAAAAATCAGTCAGTGAAATCTTTAAGAATAGTAGTGAAATATTATCTAATAAAATGTCAGCAGATGAGCCCCTCAGGTTGGAAGGTACTCAAAATATGAGTGGGGAAGAAGTGCATCTTCAAATTAGGTAATGCCATACTTTTTTCTGTAGTGGTTGTGTGCCACTGAATCAGTTCCAACTCACAGTGACCCTGTATAGGGTTTGAAGGCTG